AGGTGTAATGACATGTGTGATGTTGCTGGGGTAGAGGTGTAATGACAAGTGTGATGTTGCTGGGGTAGAGGTGTAATGACAAGTGTGATGTTGCTGGGGTAGAGGTGTAATGACATGTGTGATGTTGCTGGGGTAGAGGTGTAATGACATGTGTGATGTTGCTGGGGTAGAGGTGTAATGACATGTGTGATATTGCTGGGGTAGTCTTCTACACAACCAAGTCTCCACAACTCATGGACTAAACCACTGGCCAACCGTTCCGTCTTAGTCTGTTCTGTCTTAATGTCATTTGTCATAGTGTGTTCTGTCTAAGTGCGTTCTGTCATAGTGTGTTCTGTCGTGTGTTCTGTCATGCGTGTTCTATCTTAGTGTGTTCTGTCATGGGCTCTGTCATGCGTGTTCTATTTTAGTGTGTTCTGTCTTGGTGTGTTCTGTCATGTGTTCTGTCGTGGGTACTGTCTTGGTGTGTTCTGTCATGTGTTCTGTCGTGTGTTCTGTCTTGGTGTGTTCTGTCATGTGTTCTGTCGTGTGTTCTGTCGTGGGTTCTGTCATGCGTGTTCTATCTTAGTGTGTTCTGTCGTGGGTTCTGTCATGCGTGTTCTATCTTAGTGTGTTCTGTTGTGTGTTCTGTCATGCGTGTTCTATTTGAGTGTGTTCTGTCTTGGTGTGTTCTGTCGTGTGTTCTGTCGTGTGTTCTGTCTTGGTGTGTTCTGTCGTGGGTTCTGTCATGCGTGTTCTATCTTGGTGTGTTCTGTCGTGTGTTCTGTCATGCGTGTTCTATTTTAGTGTGTTCTGTCTTGGTGTGTTCTGTCGTGGGTTCTGTCATGCGTGTTCTATCTTGGTGTGTTCTGTCGTGTGTTCTGTCATGCGTGTTCTATTTTAGTGTGTTCTGTCTTGGTGTGTTCTGTCGTGTGTTCTGTCGTGGGTTCTGTCAAGCGTGTTCTGTCTTGGTGTGTTCTGTCGTGTGTTCTGTCATGCGTGTTCTATCTTAGTGTGTTCTGTCGTGGGTTCTGTCATGCGTGTTCTATCTTAGTGTGTTCTGTCGTGGGTTCTGTCATGCGTGTTCTGTCTCAGCGCAGTCTGTCCTGGCACGTTCTGTCTTGGAGTGTTCTGTCTCAGTACAATTGTGAGCTCACTGAGCTGAAGCAAAAAAAGGTCCCAGGTTTCCGTGCCCAAACTCCCCGGCCTGGATCTACGAGTGTTACCTTGACGACCTCCTCCAGCCCCCGTGAGTACTCCGCTTCCTGTAGCTGACCGCCCGTGGACACCTGGCTCTCAAACTCGTCCATCTTGTTGTTGAGCTCGTCGTAGACTTGGTTGAAAGCTTCTCCACCTTCCACCTTTGACCTTGAGGGGCTGCCGGGGGACGTGAAGCTGACCTGAACAGCGGTGCGGGTCTCTTGTAAGGTCGGACTCTCTGGGGGGAGGCTGGCCTGTCGCTCCTGGGGGA